GGAGAAGGAGCGCGTCCAGAGCGCTGTCAGTGACATGTTGGCCGCAGATATCATTTCACCATCTAATAGTCCTTGGGGCATGCCAGTTGTGTTAGTAAAGAAAGACAGGAACCTCAGGTTTTGTGTGAATTTTCATAAATTAAATAAGGTTTCGGTGGCCGATGTGTATCCACTGCCGCGTATGGATGACTCCCTTGATGTGCTGTCCGGGGCGCAGTACTTTTCCACTCTCGATTTGTCTTCCGGGTTTTGGCAGTTGCCACTGGACGACTCGTCGAAGCCGAAAACCGCTTTCCACATGCCTCAGGGACTCTTTCAGTTTCACTGTCTTCCTATGGGCTTAAATTCGGCTCTGGCTACCTTCCAACGTTTGATGGAGCTCGTGTTAGCTGGCTTGCAGTGGGATACATGCCTTATTTATTTGGACGATGTGATTGTTGTAAGTTCAACAAACACCTCCTATGCCTGCACTCCGTTTTTGAGAGAATGCGCTCTGCCAACCTCAAGTTTAAACCTAAAAAATGTCATCTGCTGCAGAATTCGGCATGCTATTTAGGTCACGTGGTGAGTTCCAACGGTGTTGATACGGATCCGACAAAAACTGCTTGTGTCCGTGACTGGCCTACCCCCACATGTGTGGGTGTTCACAGTTTCGTCGGCTTTGCGTCGTATTACCGTCGATTCATGCCGAATTTCGCTACGGTTGCTAAACCCTTGCACGCGCTTACTGCCAAAAATCAGAGATTGAAATGGGGTCCTGAGGAGGAAGCGGCGCTCATGGCACTTGGCGCTCGTTTGTCGGATGCGCCGATGCTCCAATATCCCGATTTTTTGTTGCCGTTTATTCTCGACACTGATGCCAGTGATACGGGCATAGGCGCCATTTTATCTCAGTTGAAAAATGGGGTGGAGAAGATGGTCGCGTACGGCAGCCGTGTTCTTTCCCCCGCGGAAAGTCACTATTGTGTCACCAGGAGGGAACTGTTGGCCATTGTCTATTTTGTGTACCTGTATAGGCCTTACCTTTACAGCAGTAAGTTAATTGTCCGCACTGATCATACGGCTCTCCAATACTCGTTGAAGGTTGAGCAGCCAGCCGGCCAGCTGTCTCGTTGGCTCGATATATTACAGGAGTTCTCGTTCGACGTCATTTATCGTAAGGGTTCCCGGCATTGTAACGCCGATGCACTATCTCGACTGCTGCCGGTGACTCATTGCATGTGTTCCTCCGGGACAAGTCGTTGCTTGCCTGTTGCTTCACTGCTGCGAACTGTCATGTCTATGGTGAACGAGTCTCCCTTGCAGATGTGCCGGCTGATGATGCATTGCAGTTGCTCCGCTCCGTATGGATGCGCGAGCAGCTGTTGGATGACTCCTTAGGGGCTCTGCGGCGTCAGGCGGAACAGACACGTGAGGGTTATATGTCAGTGGAAGGTGGTCGATTGGCTTTTCAGGAGGGCCTTTTGATGTGGAGGGATGACATAGTGGACCATTGGTGCATTGTGGTTCCCGTTGCTCTCCGTGACGGATTGGTTCACGTGTTGCACGGTGAGAAGTTGTTGCACCTTGGTGTTCAAAAGTCCTTGCTAACGTTGCAACGGGATTATTATTGGCCCGGTATGACAGCCGACGTCTCTCAACTTATTCGCTCCTGTCATGAGTGCGCCCGGCGGAAGCCGCCACGCCTGAAGTGCCATCTGCCGCTGCAATCTATTTCCGTTATGCGCATCAATGAGTTGGTGGCTTTCGATGTCCTGGGGCCCTTGCTGATCACTCCCAGGGGTAACAAATACCTTTTGGTGGGTGTGGAATATTTTTCCCAGTGGCCGATGACTTGTCCCTTACTTGACCAATCCGCATCCTCCATTGCTGATGCATTTTTGAATGGCAATGTAATGGACAAAGTTGCCCAGGAGCAATTGCTTACAGACCAGGGCGGAAATTTATCTTCTAAATTGCTATGCGACGTTTGCGACTCTTTGGGCACCAAGAAGATTAGGACGTCGCCATATCACCCTTAGACTGATGGGATGGTCGTGCATCTAAATTGGACTTTGACAGCCATGCTCTGCCAGACTGTGGATGCCAAACAAGCCGATTGGGATTTGCACGTGCCTAGCGTGCTCGCCGCTTACAGGATGACTCCGCACGCTTCCAGGGGGTTTTATCCATTTTCTCTCATGTACGGAAGGGAAAATGTATCACCTATTGATGCTCAATTGAGATCGCCTGTTCGGGGCGCTAAATTGACCCTGCCTGACCATGTGCGGGACTCCCTGCACCGGATTTCTGAGGCGCGCGAGGCGGCTCAAGTTAACACCGCTAACGGCACGCAATGAGCGCTTTGCGCGCAGGTCCGGCCACAACTTGTCATGGTCCGTTGGCGACCGGGCCTGGCTGCATTGCACCTCACCCAAACTGCACAAGCCGTGGCATGGGCAGGTTGAAGTGGTTGAGGTTAAGCGCCCACATTGTGTATGTATTCGGGCAGGTCGGCGTCGTTGGTTCATCCACCCGTCGTGGTTGAAACTCTTCGTCCCTCCACGTGTTGCTTCGTCATCCGATGAGCCGGAGGGGGGTGCGGTTGTACGTTGATCCTCCGAAGATTTGTTTTTCCGTCCACAGCATCCGACCCATGACTGCCGTCGCGGACGATGGCCTTGCCGGGTCCGGCCCTGTTACATCAGACCCCTCCGCTCTTCTGCCGACCGCTACACTTCCAGCCGTGCCTTATCGACGCGAAACGGGATACGGCTACCACGGAAGGTCCGGCGTCGCAGACCCATTCTAAAACGCCTCGATTTAGCTGTTTATCTTCGCTTTGGTTATTCACCTTTTAATGCCGGCTCGTACAGTTCGTGTTGCTTTTATGTCTGTTACACACCCTTGTCGTTGCCGCAGGGTCTTTTATTGCGTCTCTCCATTACTCGTTCATTTCATTCTTAGCCGGGATGGCTATTTTTTTTCAGTCGGGGGGGAGGGGGGGGGGTGATATAATGAGAGAGCGCCACCTGGGGGTTACAGGGGACATCTGCACGGCCACCGCTGGGTAACCTGTATCCAATCTGGAGTAGGGATTCAATGAAGGCCAAAGTTAACTGGCGAACCTACGGGGAATATTCGGGAACGATCTAGAGGGTTCCACGAGGGGGCATGGCTGTAGGCAGAGCTTAGTTCTGCCGGGGGGCATATAAGCGGAGGCAGGAGAGGACTCGAGGTCGGTGTGGGAAGCCTCGGGTCGGGACTGCATCGCCGTTCTACCTCTCCTTGCCAACGACCACGTGACGAACCTCCAGGGAAACCGCCTCTCCTCCGGGCACGCCGCCAACCAGCGGCGTGAACGGAGAGAGAGAGGGAAAGGGAGACGTGCCGCAGCAGCGGACGGGGAAGCGAGAGAACTACCCAGAGAGAGAGAGCGCGGAGCTGTGCAGCCATTCTGTTAAATAAAAGACACCAGTCCAGAGTCGTCGTGGAAGTCGTTTATTACAATAGTAAGAAGCAAAACCGATAAAGCTACATACTTCTCCCACCGAAATATTTGTTGTTTTTTTTATTTGCATTTTGATTGCTTGTGTTGTGGTTATTGCAAACAATGATCCCTTGTATAAAGGTGTCAGTTTGTGTACCAGATTAAAGGGTAAAAACCTATTACAGTGATACCTCGGTTCACGAACGCTTCTGTTCACGAACAACTCGGTTCACGAACAGAAAAGTTCATAAAAATATGCTCCGGTTCACGAACTCCGCTTCGGTTCACGAACAGGAGCCGCGGCCATTTTAATGCTATTTCCAGGCTGTCACATGGTCGTGACTTCCTGTAGGAAGATCGTGGAGAGAAGAAGAGACACAGAAAGAAGTACTGTGAGTACTGTGAAGACACTTTCAGTGACTTTTTGGTGTGCTTTTTAGCACATACAGTACTGTACTGTACAATACTGTACTTACTGTATTGTACAGTTCACCCGTTTGAGTGCTTACTAAAGTCATCTCAAGCAAGGTTAGTGTTCTCTCTTTATACATTACTATACTGTACAGTACTAATGTGTATTGTAATTTGTTTCATATTTTTGTGCTTCAAAAACCAAAAAAAAGGTCAGAACGGATTAACCGGATTTACATTGAACCCTATGGGAAAATGTGCCTCGGTTCACGACCAATTCGGTTCGCGACCAGAGTCAGTTCACGAATTAAGTTCGTGAACCGAGGTATCACTGTACTATATTTTGCTGCTGGTAAAGGAGGTCTCATAGTATATGATTTTTTTGCCCGTATTGAAACGGCTGTACACAGTATGGACATGAAAACTCACTTTCCTGTACAAGAATATAGGTAAACCGTATGGGTTGACGACAGATATGAGTGTGTCAAATAAAACCTCCACACACACAGTAAACAGAGTCCCACCTATACAAACATTTAAAAATCTGCAACATTTAACATACGTTTATGCAATGTTAAATACATTGACTTAGAATCAAGAAAAGGAAGAAGACGGCAAAGGAATTAACATTACACCGCAGTCAAATGCACGAATGGTGCACACCACCAGTCTCGATAGCACAAATACCCCACGAACCCACCCTGGACCCCTTCCGGACCAACCCCATACCCCTGGAGACAGCCTTGACCAACCCAAAAAATACTCAGAACCTACACAGAATCCACTTGGAACCAACCCAGACCCCACCAGACCCACCCAGGATACCCCCCAGGATCCCCCTCAGACCCACCCCAGACCTTGCCCAACCCAACCTAGACCGCCCCGGCCAGACACCAGACCCCCCGACCCCCCTGAACCCCCCTGGACCCCACCCGAACCAACCCCAAACTCATGCCGGACCCCCCCCAGACCCATCCAAAACCTCCCTGGGACCTGCCCAAACCCCCACTGGAGCCCCCTGGACCCACCTTGGAGCCCCACCAGATCCACCCTAAACACCCCCCACCAGACCCCCACCAGACCCCCCCCCCAGACGACATCAGAATCCCCGCCCCCACCACACTTGCTGTTCTACCTTCTATAGACCATTCAACCTATAATTTATAACACGCAGATGTCTTAATGTACCTCCGATTAGCACGGTTGGCAACATATGGTGAAATAGAAGTTCAACATACATACAACCCACGAACCTCGCTACCACTCTGTTGGATCACAGGCGCGTCTTACCACCGCCACCATGCCCAATGCACTGTGGTGCCTGAAAAAACCACAACCAGAAAGGATTGCCACCTTTTCTACAGACCAAACCCAGACAGGCATATTTCTCAGTCAGCCTAGGACCTTAGGTGTATCAAGACTGTGCAGTAAATAGTAATAAACTTCAACAGAATTCCACCAGATCTCGGTACATATTCATTCTCGCCACCTTGACTGTCTTGAGTCAGAACCAGACAAGTGGCAATCCTACTGCCAGTGTCAACATTTTTATTTATTCGGGGGCTTATGCTGGGTGACAGTCACTCAGTAAAACACGTGCTCCATGAGCGAGCGTCCCTCGCTGTTGTTTCGCTCTTTAGGGAGCTGGGCATCCCCTGCAGTCTCGGCCCAGCCCTCATCATGGTCCAGCCTCCTCAGCGGCACGGGGGCCACGGCAGCGACAATGGCGGTCGCCAGGTCAGAGCAGCTGTGGCTCTCGCACTCCTCTGCAAGGCCCCGCCAGCCGGAAGAGGGGCACACGGCGTCGTGCTCGATGACTTCTCGGAGACAGTCTAAGGAACAACCATGGGGTGGTGGTGTCAGCACACAATAAGTTAAGGTATAGGTGCACCATTGCAATTGCTTGTTTACAGAACTGCTTGTGGAGAGACCTCCACTCGAGGGAGATCTTGAGAAACTGTCCACAGAGTATTTGGCCTATATTTACCGACGTCATGTAACAATACGAAAATGGCCAATCGACTAACTGTGGTGTACACCTTTATACGGTAGGGTGACCAAAGGTAAGATCATTTTTAGAGAGGCGTGGCCAAAGGTGGGAGAATTTAAATAATTTTTTCTGCTGCCATTCTGGGGAGAAGGAACAGTGTGTTTACTATCACACCATGGTAGCTAATTATCTTAAATTCGACAGTTTCATTTGCAAGACAAAGTCCGTGTGTTGTAGATGGTGGATCCAGAGCTGCTGGGGAGGACTGTGATGAAGGCATGTGAATCATGGCGGGGGATTGACCTTACCTCACACTCGTCGTGCAGGTTGATGAAGGAATAATATTTCGTCTCACTTATTGCCGAGTTGCTGAAATTGGTTTGGGTGGCCCTTTCCAGTTTAGCTACGCAGATCTACAAGGCACTTGAGCTTCTTTGCTACAGAAAGGTAATGTTTCATTGAAGAGGAATGAAATGTGTTCAATAATTTATCATTGAATACTTCAATCATCACTATTGTATAGTTTAATCTGAGTCTATCACCATGAGGCACACTTGTAATGCTGAATCTTAAACCAAAGAAAACATAAAAGACGTCGATAGAACAAATGTACAAAAATATGATAGAGAGTGGGAGAGCAAGCAAGGGTAAGGAAGCATGAGAAAGCGAGATAGCGCAAGAGCCCGGCTAAGCGCATGGGTGTGCGTAGAGTTCATGCATATGGCTTCAGCAAATAATACAGAGAAGTTCATGTGTTTACGTCTTTAGAATTGCGTGTGCACATACGCATGTCGTGTCCTACCGCGCAACTTAATTAGCGAACTAACAGTGTTCCTGGTCAGCGTATTCCGGTTTATGTGTATTTTTGTAGCTTTTCCAGCTTGCCCCGTAATCGAGTACGGCTTCGAGAGGTTTTACTGGACTAACATTTGATTTTCCTCCAGTGCAATGAGCCATTCTCTGCCCCTGTTGGTGTATTTCGTATATTTATCTCTGGATCAGCACAAACGTCCAGAATCTTCTTAAGTGATATGTGTAGATCAATAATTTCCTTTGGTGACTAAACAAACGGTGTAAATTCCACATTCCTATGGTCAAAGTCGGTCTATCCATGTCATGACCGATGCTCACTCTACACAAAGCAGCACACCAAAACCTTGCCCATCGTGGGGGTTACATTCCTGACAATAGCCGCAATCATAAAAAACACAATCCGCAAACTCAAAGGCAAATGGGAAAAATATGGTTTGGTTCCCGGTTTGTAACACAAAACCCCCTCCTTTTGTTTTATGTCCGCCTACATGAACCGAAACAGGAAGTATTTTTTATGTAAACGCATAATTAATATTCTCTATAGTGTTAAATATAACCTGTACAGTAAATGTATAGATTGAAAAAAAAAACATGTATATTCTTCTGCGACAGCATTGCAAGCACAGTGCAGTTAAGAGTACCTATATAGTACTTTTACGATGCGTACTGTACAGGAATCTCACGGTCTTAGCCGCGAATGATCGAGCCATAGCAGCACAAACGGTGAACTGCACCTCAATAAACGTGGTGCAAATAGCCAAATCCACAATGGGAAAACCCACGATGGCCAAGGTTTTGGTGTACTTAATTTAATGAAATCAGACAAGTGAAGAGCTGAGTCTGCACTCAACTAAATTTTAACCTCCAACCTTCCAAATGCATGTTGAGCACTCTAACAGTGCCAAGCAGCTGGCTATTCATTGCCATGTGGCTGTGTAATTACGTGTTCTCTGTCGGAGAGATGCATTTGTCCTTCAGGGGCTGTATATGTCTCAAATGCAAATGTAGTTAATTGTTAAGTGCATGCTGTGCTGATCATGCAGCGGTGATGTACAGCTCACCTGGCCCGCAGCTGTAGATGGCACGCAGGAGCTGCATGGCGTAGCAAGTCCGCTGGGCAGACACCAGGACTGAGGCTACCAGTCCCAGGGATAGCATGGGGAGCCGTCCCCGCCAGCCCTGAGTGAGACCCCGGACTAGCTCCATGCTGGCACAGCGGAGAACCAGGTATATGCAGTCCTCTGCCAAAGCCACGGGGGCATTGATTAATTAATTTGCTTTGACCGCCAAACAGTCCAAATATCAGTGGCCACTACACTCGAAAAAGCACAAGCACTTACTCATCTCTATAGGTGGCGCTGAACCACAGAAGGACATTCTTTAACTCCTCTGATGGGGGAAGGAATTTAAACAGGAAGGACTACCATTCACTTCCTGCAAATTTAAAGTAATTTTACCAACCCCGGAAAGATTTGTGTACATTGAACTTCCTTCAAGCCGTATGTAGCCAACCGTGCTAATCAGAGGTGTGGCCGAAGGACGACAAACTAAAAAAAAGCGGTTCTAAAGAAATTAGTTTTCAATCTAGATATAAGAGTGCATAGCACCAGTGGCTTCCTAATACCAGGAAGTTAAGTTGATCTCAACCGGGAGTTGAACTCATGGGTTCTAAATTGTGAGTCATCTTTATCAAATCATAAAATATATCCATGCAACAGCTCTTCACTTAATTCACTTGTTTATATAACTTTAGACGTTTTAAAACCATGCTGCTGTACAAGTGCACCACAAGGAGCAGGTAAATTGCCACCTACTGAAATAAAATCCATGCGGCTGAACAGTGTAGCGTGTGCACAAAGCACGCATCATAACCTCACCCATGCTGAAAGAGTCACAGGTGTGGACATAGGCAAGAGCTCCCTGCACTCGGCCTTGGCAGCACAGGGCCTCGGCTGCCTTCCCGTGGGCACCAGACCCGGCAAACACGGCGTGTGCCAGCACCAAACACAGAGGGGCAGTCGTTGGCTCCGTCTCACCATACCGGCAAATCACATCTCCTAGTGCTTCGGAGAATGTTAGCCTGAATGCAGACACACCATCACACCACACGCAAGCATCACCTCTGTACATAATGCCTGTATAGCAATCCCTTGCCAACCGCGGACTTGCCTACCACGAAATTCATGTATACACGTTTTATTATCTGTATACCAATTTACTAAACGCGGCCTCTAAGCACGGGTCCGCAACATGCAATTTACAAATGTTGTCTGGATGCGGTTCTACTCCGCACCTCCTCGCCACCCGTGGGGCTGCATCGTAGCCTATCAGCTGTCCGTCTGCATTGTTGTGATTTTCGCAGGCCACAGACCGTGTCGTATCGCAACCATAGAGGGAGGTGTACCGGAACTTACACTAAAAAAACACAGCAGCCATGCATCCTAACTTTTTAAATGAAAAGCACCAACACCACCGATCCAGCCAGCAGCACCACTGTGACTGCCTCCTCGCCTGCCTCCTCGCCTGCCCACTCATCTGTCATTGATGACCCGGAGGAAGAGGGGGAGGGTGGGCTGAGCTCCTCCTTCTACCCACCCCTTCCCCCATCATCTTATTTTAGTATCTTGCCCTTCCCCCGCACCTCCGCATAGGACGGTTGGCTACGTACGGTACGAAAGAAGTTAAATATAATACATACATTTTCATCATCATTGTTAATATTAAAGGTATGTAAAGTTAATGTAATGTTTATGTTTTATTACGTTATTTCATCATGTACTATATTTTATTCTGTGTTTAGTTAATAAACAGGCAAGTTAATTAAGCTACGACAAGTCTGACCATGGCCCCTATACTTGACCAACCACTGATTTGCCTACCGTGGCCTTTTCCAGGAACCTAACCCTCGCGATTAGCAAGCGATTTCTGTACTTCGTGCATTGTGTTAATATCAGCATTTGGGGTGACATAGGTGGCCAATTATGTGAAGGAAGTGGTGTGAATGTGATTCTCATGAAACATACCGGTGCTGTGTCTGTATGTATGTCCATGTGTCTGGTATTGCATGTGTGTCTGTAATGGCTGTGTGATACTGTGTGGAAGCTACCTAGCTTCTTTTAAAAGCTCTGGGTCTTCTTGGCCACAATTGTGTCCTCTCTACTCTAAGCTTACAAAATGTGGACCCATTTAATCATACATCTGTGTTAGCTTGAAACATTCAGGCTGGCCGGCCTACAATCCATGCTGGGTTTAAGCAGGCTGGATCGTGTGGGGAGCTCAAACATCTTGAAAGAACTGGAAAGAGTGCCATTCGTGAGCTTCTCCTGCAGGCGAGGTGACATTGACTGGGTCATGTGGCCTGCATGCCAAGCCTCCTTGTGGCGAAGCAGGTTCTGTTTGGCCAGACAGAGGGGAATGGCATGGGCTGATGAGGTACAGGAGGATGTGGAGCTGATTGGACTTACAGATGACTGGTACCAGCAGTATCAATAATGGCCTCTGCTCTTGCAGGACACTACTGGGCTGTTTAAGGCAGTCGCCCTCCAACAAGGATGGAGGAACGATGAACATAACAATGAACAGAGTACTGGTCAGTTAAATTACAGAAAGTTGGCACGGTGGGCAGCACAGGTGGTGCATTTGTCTGTCATCTCAGTCAACTCATATCTTATGAGGCTGCCCTGTGACCTGCTATCCGCAAACCTTCCACACTTTACATGCCCTCAAAGTACACCTCGCCTGGCTCAAGCACCGTGGTGACATGATCGCGACTTACTGACGAATGTCAGCTGTTGCTGTCTGTATGGGGAATGGTGGCACCGTGGTTAGTACACTGCATTATAAACCCATCTTCCTGAGTTCGATTCATGCTCAAAGGCAACATTAGTGGCAAATATTTGAAATGCTCATGGGCCTCCCCTAGCTCGACTCACCACTGGGTTGACAAAGGCGGCGAGGCGTGGTACAGGCCACACCACCGCCTCGTATGGCACGCCGGCCTTCATAGGTGCTTGCTAACAGGACTTGTCCCAACAGCATGTGTAGACTACATGGAGGATCTTTGCCTCTATATTCATATGTGCGTATCGTACATATTATTGTGATTGTGTATGATTTTCACAGGCGAGTACCGGCAATGTGTCACCCAGTGCATGAGCAGGTCCAGCCTGTGCTCCTGCAGCGAACAGCAGGTGGCCTCCAGACTTGTGCGAGCATCGGGCAGGCGCCGAGCGGCCGTCGCAGAACCTATCAGTGTCTGGAACCAGAGCAGCAGGGGCAGTGGCTCTCCGTGCTGCCGATGGAGCGCTGGGGACAGGAGGTGTGACCAGCAAAGAGACCAGGGGAGGTGAGGTTTGATTGTAGTGAACAAAACTTTGTTTGACACACGAGTCTTCCATTAACTAAAACAAAGATACCCCATAAATGTATATAGGTGTCTGGGGCCAGTGCTGTGAGCACCTATTAAGGCTGACATGGCATACAAGGGGGTGGTGTGGCGAGAATCATGGCTGCCAACCTTTGTTCCCTTTAGCCCTGATGTTTACACACGAGGCCAGATATACATTTACAGCTGAGTCGACCTAAAGGTAGGACAGAACCAGTTCAAATATCACTACTGTTATTAGCCGTCAATTAAATTAATGCAGCTCTGTTCGTAGCACAGTATGCTAACCACTGCACTACCACTCCTACAAAAACACACAGGTGTGCACCTGCATAGGCTTATCCAATGACCTCAAGGAGAATCCAAAATATGGTAAGTCACCACTTAACACATGTTCACACAACATGTTTTCATTAAAACGCGGTTATTCCACGAGGGAACACTTTTCACACAAAGGGGAACGCGCAACGTAGCGTGGAACGTTCGCCGTTGTAACACGGAACGCTCGCCATTGTAACGCGGTTTCTGAGCGGTTGACAATGAACTACTTTCTTGAGCTGCACAGCTGAGCGGTATGATACAGTACGCAGAATGATACAGTAACGAAACAGTAATTTTTCCCGCCATCTTACCCTGTGTGCGTACATCGTATCTCCCCAAATTTTATCGCTACATTATTTACAGGGAAATTGTTTTCGCTTCATGCCATTTTCGCTTAACGCAGCACATTTTTTGCGCTTAACGCAGTGCATCTACCACATTAAACGAGGACTTACTGTATGTATAAACTGTGGTAGCTTGTGTCTTCAATATTAAGATGCAATGGAGTCGACATGAGTTTATTGGTCTCTGGAAATAAGCAAAGGTGAATCAAGTGGTCGATCCTAAAGTTGAACGTTTTGCATAAATGAGCTTCCGCTTGATTATAGAGGGACTGTTGTTCCGCTTAGCTCTGGCTAGCCTATCCTCCTGTACCGAGTTCTCTCCCCGGTTACTCCCGGAAAAAGTTACTCCTGTTCACGTTTACAGATCCTGTTACCCCTATCTCCAGTCATCAATGCTACCAGCTGCTCCTTTGCCTTTGTGCCATTCACCCCACCCCCCAACCTCGTCACCTGAGCCCTCTAGCCCTGTGACCGGTTACCCCCTGTGCACTGGCTCCCAGAGTCTCACTAGAGAAGCAGTGAGCGGTGTGCTCCTTTCGCAGGATTCCGTGGGGGCTGCTGGCCGCATGCTGTGCCGCTTGTTCGTAGTGCCCATCTTGAAGCAACTCATTAAACCTGCACGCACCCACCCAATCACAGACCGCACCGCACAGCAGCATCGTCCGGCCATAGGATAAACACAAGCTGTTATCCTGAACTCCATTGAGTTTGTTTATACATTTGTAGTGTGTTAGGCGCACATTTGTACTTGGAGGCAACACGTTTATTTAACACAATGGGTAACTCTTAACAGGATAACAGATTAGGGTGGTGACCACCACGACTAACTAAACTGACACTCGGAGAGACAATTCTATAGTCGGACCAGGATAGCTAACTGGCTGCCTGGTCGACGCGTGAAGACCGTAGACCGCGGATCGAGGATAGCGACTTCATTCCCAGAGTTTAACGCCCCGATCCCTCTCGGGACCCTGCTTATAACTCCCCTGGCGTGGCCGGCCCCGCCCCTGGCCACGCCCCCCTTCCAGAACCCTCGTGGGGACTCTGGATTCCCATTACATGATCCTCTCACCCCCGACTGGGGGCCCGCCTGCCCCCCTCGTCCGGTCACGTGCCCTCCCGGATTCACCTCACTGTCAGGTCTTGACGCGACCCCCTTCTCAGCGACACCCGGGCTCCGCCCTTACAGTACCACTCCTCACACGGCACTGTCTCTACACCACGGTGGCCCCCTAGAGGCCACCACACATTCATAATGCAGCTTTTTGGGATAGATCGCGTAATTATAAATATGTCGCAATCCCACCTCCACCCAACACATCAAATTCATAAGATTTGTCACGTGAACAAAATGTCCCAATTAGTTACTTCAGCATATTGGTGTGTTGGAGAGCAACCCCACAACATTTACAATTTTACACGTAGGCTTTCGTGACCAATATCATCCATAATAGAGGTTGTTTTGGGTTAGATCGCGTTGGGCAAACAGGACAAATGATCAGCACAAGACTAAAAGAACATCAGAGAAATATTAAATACTCCCAAATACAACTGTCAGCAATAGCAAAACATGTGTGCCAATAAGGACACTCAATTGATTTTGATAATGTTGAAGTTCTGTGCAAAACTAGCTACTACTGGCCAAGACTAATTAGAGAATCTATCGAAATTGAAAGAAATAAAAATTAGGATTTAGTGCTGCGTGGAAGCGAATCATCAAATAATACATTGTTTAAATGCATGCCTATACAGGGCACCATACTTCAATAGGGATTACCCTTGGTACGGCTATTTTAATACACACAATGGACGTGAAAGAATAATGCGCATGCATAATGTATGTTGACTCTTTAATCCCCCATGCCCCACTTTGCGCAAAAGCACAGAAGTGTGGTCACCACATCTACGCCTCTATATAAGGAACGAAACAGGCAGACTTCTCCAAAAATCTGGCTGTCGCCTGATGAAGATAGATGTAATTGTAGTGACTGTGAATGTCACTGTGTGGTGCCGGCCTTGCGAGGCCAAGGCGGATAATATGTTGTCATTATGTGCAGCCCACTTACTGGGCGTAGTACCAGCCCTAGCGGGGCTTGGGTGAGCGCTGGTTAGCGCAGAGGCACCACGTACAGTGTGCGGTGCGGGCTCCCGGTGAGAGGGCGAGAGAGTGTCAGCCAGCCAGGGTTACGTTGGGGCATGATACGCTGGTTGACCTACCGACACGTGACCGGATGATATTGGAGGGGGGCCACCGGTGGACGGAGGCCACTGGGTGGTCACGTGGTATAGAGGAGCTCTCGGGAGCCTTCGGGAAAGAGCTCGAGCGATCTAGAAGGTGGGTGGGGCGAGAGGCGGAGCCAGCCCCAGGCCGGGCCAATATAACGGGGGCTCGAGGTTCTTGACTGTTGGCGAGTTCAGATCCTTGGCGGCATTCCTCGCCATCCCGCCGCAGGCGTTTGACCAGATGGCCGCTGTTTTCGAGCCTCCGCTGAACACCCGCCAGAAGTTCGCCGTAAGATGCAAAGGGGATGGTGAGTCGGCTCTCGCCTACCGAAGTGCACTCTTGGCGCTGGCGAAGGCCGCGTTCCCAAAAATGCATCACGACGGCCTTGACGCCTTGGTCCTCGAGAAGATGTTGGGAGTCGTAAAGGACCTCAATACTGTGCTCCCTGCCGAGGATGGTGAGGTGTCTTCACTCAAGTTCGCAGGTGTCACATTGCAGCAGACCCTGCAACGTGACAGGGTGTTGGTGGCGTGCGCTACGTCTTCCATGGAGCCTGGAGCCCACACAGACGAGGAGCCTGCTCCTGCATGCTCGCTGCACCAGCGGGGCGGCATTCGTCGGGGTGACGGCGATCGGCAGCGGGATGACCGGCGGTGGGCGAGGTCTGCATCATCCCAGTCCAGCAGTGGACGGGTCCAGCTACAACTGCGGCCTGCCGGGGCACGTACAATCGGGCTGCCGGGTTCCTCGACGGCAGCCCTCAGGACGTCCGCCTTCCTACAACTCCCTGCTTCTTAAGGCGAGTCGCGGCGCACCCCACACTCGGCCCCGGGGTTCACTTCACCCATCAGGGGGGTTCGATTTGCGTCAGGGTTGCGCGCGGGTTCAGGGGGAGTCGGTTCATGTTCGCGACGCACGGCCGCTCCGACCGGATCAGTGGTCGGAACTGGCACATCGAGTGGTTGCGGTAGCCGCGGGGTCATCGCCTGTGCTTGGGTTCATTGAGGGGGTTAAAATTTGCATGCTAGTTGACACCGGCGCGTCTTCAACCATTATTTCCAACCTCATTTACAATATTTTGCCCCCCTGGTGTCGGATTTTGGAGCCGGTGGATGCTCCGTGTTTCGCCACCAACGACGGATCGTTGGGGATAATCGGTCGGATAACTGTTTAGTTGCGCATTGCGGATGTCACATTGTCGGGCCATGTTTTGTTTTCTACGGCCCTGGCTGTCCCGTGCTTACTGGGGACTGATTTCCTCGGCAAAATGCCCCTGAAGATTTGTATCGACCAGGGCTGTTTGGAATTGCCGTCGGGGCGGTGTATGGCATTTCTCCCGTCTCTGACCCGTATGTGTTCTGCTAACGGCACAGTACAAGCGCTTGCGTGCCGAACGGTGCGGATTCCGCCTGGCGCGCAAATGCGTAAACCATTCGATGTACGCACTGAGGGGGATGGTATTGTGTTGGATCCCTCAAATAAGCTTAGTCAGGGGATGTCACTCGTAGCGGCTCAGACGCTGGTGTCTCCGGACCAAGAACCATTCATACACGGTCGGACACGACGGTCATTCAGAAGGGTTCCGTGATTCCGCATGCGTTTCCGGCATGTCCGGACCTCAAGATGTGGATGAGGGCTGGATGGATGGACTGTGCTCTAAATGCGGTGATGGGGAAGTTGAGAGCGCTCCTGTGGGAGTTTTCCCAACATTTTTAGTCATAATAAATTTGATATCGGTCGCACATCCCTTTTGAGCCACCATATTGACATGGGAAATGCTGCCCCCATTTTGCAGAATCCTTACCGCTTGAGCCCGGCCGAAGAGGAACATGTTCGGGCGGTGGTTGATGCGATGTTGGCCGCAGATATCATCTCGCCATCCACCAGTCCATGGGGTGCTCCGATCATACTTGTTAAAAACCACGACGGCAGTTTGCGGTTTTGTGTTGATTTCCGTAAGCTTAACAAGGTTTCTGTTGCGGATGCATACCTCTTGCCTCGTATGGACGATTCGTTGGACGCTTTGGTGGTGGTGGACGCGCGGTTCTTTTCCACCCTTGACCTTCTGTCAGGTTTTTGGCAGCTGCCGCTTGACGAGGCTTCAAGGTCCAAGACGGCTTTTAGAACACCACAAGGGTTGTTTGAGTTTAACCAGCTTCCGATGGGGCTCCACTCTGCGCCGGCCACCTTTCAGCGTCTAATAGAGTTGGTTTTAGCGGGCCTCAGTGGGATTCATGCCTAATATACTCAGATGACGTCATTGTTTTCAGTCGCACGTTTGATGAGCATTTGGATCGCCTGCGGGCTGTTTTCATTCAAATGCGTGTGGCCGACCTGAAATTCAAGCCCCAGAAATGTCACCTACTCCAAAAATCGGTTCGATACTTGGGCCATATAGTTAGCGAATCGGGCATCGCGACAGACCCGGAGAAAACTGCTTGCGTTCGGATGTGGCCGACCCCCACCTCGGCCAGCGAGTTGCGCAGTTTTATCGGTTTTGTATGATCCTTCTATCGATGTGCAGTTACAAGCCGTGCCCGCCACGAAAGTGTCCAAAATTTCTGATTCGGTTCGTTTCAATCTTGCCAAACTTTACGAGGTGTGGGAAGCTGCCAGTGCTAACTCCCGGGCCAGACAGTTGGCCAACAAGCGGCTCAACGGAGCCCGTGTTTCCCTGTGCGATTGGTCGCCGGGGGACAAGGCCTGGTTGCATTGTCCGCAGGTGCCGGTGGGCACATCTCCCAATTTTCTGCAACCATGGAGAGGGCCGGTTGATGTGGTTTGGGTCGTGCGCCCGCAATGTATCCAGATTCGGTTTGGTAAGCGGAGTTGGTTTGTGCACCCCTCTCGTCTTAAGCCATTTATTGCGCTGTGTGAGTTTGTTTCATCTCCATATCGCAGGGGCCGAGTGTCTGGTGTGCCCGATGAGCTGGGGCGTGCATCTGCCGATGCTGGTCTTCAGGAGAGTGTTTCTGTTCCGCTCCCAGGCACTGCGCGATTGATGCCTCGCACGTAGCCGCACGTGTCGGTCTTGCGTGCTCTGGATGTGAAGGATCCAACAGCCCGGCCTACTGCTCTTCGTGAGGAGCCGGCTTCGTTGAGTCAATTTCTTGTTCCCCCCGGGCCTTCCAGGTTAGACGAGCTCAACAGAGACGTGCGGTGAGGTCAATGGCTGGGGAGGCACTGGCTCGTGTCAGAGCCAGATTCACACACTGAGGGGGGCGTGGCCTTACGGAGAGGGGCGTGGCCTCACTGAGGGGGCGTGTTAGACACGTCCCCCTCAGTGAGGCAAATGTGATAGCTGCCTCCCCTGGTGCTTTTTCATTGCAGTTTCATGACGAGACCAGCGAGCCTAAATATCTTTATACACATACGTGAAATAAGTTACCTGGAGTATGGATGACGAGGACATGAAATGAAGGGGTCTACAAACATTACATTTTCTTGGTTCTTTCGATAAAGTCACCGAAAGAACCAAGAAGATGAATCCCTGCAGTCACGAAAGCTTTAAATCGAAATTTAAACATTACATTGGTGACATACTGAGATAGTAACAGGCATGCGCTTATTGCCCGCGCTCCATCCAGCTACTGAGGGGTTGCGCAATCAGAGGGGAGGCTGAGCTCATCACTGCCTTACCTCTCATCTCTTCCTGTATTTGAAGAGGAGCTCTGCAAATTTGGCGATTTTGACTATAAAAATGATTGGAATCGTACAGAAATGACATTTATAACACAGATGAGTGGAAAAATCTTAATATTTATTTTATTTGATTATTCTTTTTTTCTACTTTTCGTAACAGCTATTTTCATTGGAGTATGACAGGTGAGGCTCTGCCTCCCCTGCCTCCCCTGACAGCACGTCTCTGGAGCCTAATCTACCTGGAGGCCCGGCATCGTGGACTCGCTCAAAGACTCGATTTGCATGATCCCTGCGCACTGCACACTCCCACACCGTCATGGGTTGTCGTACTCACATGAGTCGTGACGAGTATTTGGCTGATTCTGCTCGCCATCGAGCTCACGGGCGTTGTTACACATTGTGGGTGGGAGATGTTGTTGCTTTGCTCACTTGGTCGACGCTCAGCGATTTCCGCCCTTTTACAGGTTGATTGCTTGTCGTCACTCGTCACTCTCTCTTCTCCGTGCTTTCCTTTGTTCGTGCAGCTGCCAGCTTCACTCGCACTTAACTTCGTTCTGCGAGAAGCGACACCTGCTATCGGCATCGGTGTTTGCTCCCTCACGACGCTCTGCCAGCTGGAGCACGGCTGAAACCCAGCCTCGACCCAGGTTGAACTCAGACTTCTGCGACTCGAACGACCCCTCCTCATTCCATCTCTCCTCGAGGCACGATCTGCCCCAGCTCTCTTGCGAGCCCCGTCGCAACGCTGCGTCGCAAGCCGAGTTGCGAGACTGAGCGCGACTCGAACCAGACTGCACTCAGGCTGTCACCTTAACGATGTCTCGTCGCCCCATCTCTCCTCGAGGCACGACTGCCACAGCTCCCTTGCGAGCCCCGTCGCAACGCCGCGTCGCAAGCCGAGTTGCAAGACTGAGCGCGACTCGGACAGACTGCTCTCAGGCGGTCACTCTCTGACCCCTCATCGTCCCATCTCTCCTCGAGGCACGATCTGCCTCAGCTCTCTTGCGAGCCCCGTCGCAACGCCGCGTCGCAAGCCGAGTTGCAAGACTGAGCGCGACTCGAACCAGACTGCACTCAGGCTGCCACTTTAACGACCCCTCGTCGTCCCATCTCTCCTCGAGGCACGACTGCCACAGCTCCCTTGCGAGCCCCGTCGCAACACCGCGTCGCAAGCCAAGTTGCGAGAGTGAGCGCGACTCGAACCAGACTGCTCATTCGCTATGTGCGCTTGTGCTTAAACTAAAAAACGTGACTCCCCTCTCTCTGCATCTCTTGCGAGAGGGAAAAACAACAAACTGAGCGAGAAGAACCAGACACCCCCGCGACCCCTCCTCGCGACCTTTTCTAACCCCCCAAGCATTCATGGGCCATCTGTTTGTGCCGGACCATTGGAGACAAAGGTGGCTGAGGAGATTTTTGCAATATATTTATGTGGTCCTGTGTGTTACATTTATTCTTGAGTTATATTTTAATGTCCTGAGGTTAAGTGCAACTAAATTTCCACTTAAGCTTTCTGGAATACGTATTCCCTAGTTTTTGGTAAGGTCATGCAGATAGAAACACACAATACAAAATAATCTATGTGCGGTGAATACGAGTAACATAAGGGAATATCTAATAACAAGGCCCCTATTGTTTGTTGGTTAATTCTTTTTGTTAAGTTTCTACTTTTCGGTACGGAAAACCTTTAAGGAAAACGCGAGTTGCACAAGTTGTTTTTCTCTGCTCTGCACCCCCTCCGTGCATCTCAAGATGTCTTGGGAGGTCAGGCCATCGATCTTTGTCCATCTGGATGTCTCTGACCTCTCTATGACCGAATTCTTATCGTTTTAATGGCCCTCCATGTTTCATAGATTCCTGGTATAGCTGGTGGAGAAGTGGGTTGTTTTCATTATTTAATAAATAAAAAAATATATAGATATAATAAAAATATATATACATTTTTTTAAATTGTTCTTAATAAAAAAAAGGGGTATAAACACAACACCAATCAGTTTCAAGGACAATGCATAAATTATCAGAGTATTGTTTTTTGTTTGCATTTGACTGCAAGTATTGTGGTTAATGTAAACATGATTCCTTGCAAAAGGTGTCAGTTTTGTTGCCAGAAAAAAGGGGGAAAACCCTATTAGTATTTCCATGTTCTGTTTACTAGTTGGCTGTGTTGGGTGGTGGTGGGTTTAACGACACATTTATATAATTACGCGATCTAACCCAAAACAACCTCTATTATGTATCTACAATTTGAGTAAGATGTTTCGCTGGTGATTACAACCAGCTTCATTAAGTGATTGCCATAATTGTGAAGAAGTCTTCCTATTTCCAGTCTTAAATTGAGTAAGGTGATGCTATTACTGTGTGCCTACAAGTGCTAAGAGCTAAGGGAGGTTAATGTATTCACGTAAATTATAATGGTGAAATGACAGCCGATTCGCCACTTTAACACGTAGGCTTTCGTGACCAATATCTATAATAGAGGTTTTGTTGTGAGTTTACTCTCAAACACACCAGTGTGCTGAACTAATAACGAATTGGCATGTTTTCTTTACGTGACAAACCTTACAAATTGCCTATGTCGGCTGGTGGTGGGTTTTAACAACACATTTATGTTTACACTATTTTCTATTTATTCGCCCATTTTTTGTGTTCCCCTCTGAAGTAAGTAACTACATGTTCAATCAGTGCATGAAACAAGGTTGGGTATTTTGTAGAAGACATTGCCAATGAAGTGGCTGACTGACCTGTCTATGTAGGAAAGAACTTGTGCCCCCTCCGATCCCTTGCCAGGCTCATCGTCCCCAGAGCCACCGACCATCTCCATCTCTGCTTGCTCCGGGTCATCTACCCATAGGGAACGTGTTCAATGTAATGCATGCAACACAAACACAGGGCACGGTCAGTCTACACCTTGCAACAAACGGCATGTGGATATCTGTGAAACTACTTGACATCTGTGAAAAATATATTTATAGCTCATCGGATTCCTCCAGTATAAATAAATATTCTGATTCTGATGTGGACCACAAGGAATTATGTCATTTAAAGACAATTAAAACCACCAATCCATCAAATCATTCAGACGTTGTCATGGTTACACACTCCTAGAATTGTATCACCACCTTCTGGTGTTGTCTTTCCATTGGCTTTGGACCTCTAGTTTCCATTCTGCATATGTGCCTCACCCATTGTAAACTATTTTTTTTGACTACATATGCAACATTTTTCTTCCACACTCAATTATTAATGTTCAAACTACTAATTGCATTTTACCATGGAATTCCTCAAATCCTCTGCATGTACCTATATTCAAAGACCAGAAGAATATTTATAAAAGAATGATTGAGGCATCATTCCATGATTGTGGTGTATAATTGTTGTTGAAACATTGTAAGCAAATCTGAAAATTTTATGAGTTGTCCCATTTGTTGATGATGTCCACAGTTCAGTTATACTATCTGGTAGAGGAGTTTTCCCCTTTTTAACATTGCAAATGGCATTGTTTATTTTTTTTAAAGAAAAACATCTGGAACTTCATCCTCTGAATATGAGAGATGGTAGAATTCCTGGGCTATACGTATTGTATGCTATCCAAAAATTCGACCTCTAAGTTATCATTCAATCTTTCTCATAAGGCTGTGCATTGCCAAAATTCATCCTTTTCCATAATAGAGGTTTTTGGGTTAGATCGCGTAAATGTAAACGCGTCGTTAAATTCACCACCACCCGACACAGCCAATTAGTAACAAACCTTACTAATATCTATGCAATCTAACCCAAAAACATCGATTATGGATAATATTGGTCGCGAAAGCCTACGTGTTAAAGAACCATCCTTTTTTACTCCTTTTGCTTACTACGATGTTTTACATCGTTTTTGTGTTGTGTTCCCAGATTTCTGATTGAAAGTGATAACAGCATGAACGTGTATTAACAGTGAATTATTTGATACATGTGAGAGAAGAAAAATGAGAACCGTTGGGAAAGTATCACACTGCAACACTGAGAGTGATGGCACAACTACCAAGTGCATTTTCCTGTGCGAGTCTCACCCTGGTGATGCTCATTCTCCCACACCCCCTGTACCATGACCTCGAGCAGGGAGCCACTGCAACGGTCGTGCAGCCGCCACATCCTCGCCGCCCCACGCGAGGCCTTCAGCCTCCTGTACCTGCCACAGAATAAAACATCCCGCCAGAGGCTCATTTTAAAACGTCAACATCCAATTGTCTACCTTTTCTAATGAGTAGAGTAGATGGTTCTAATCTTCATTGGTAGACTTGAGCCAGCGGTAAAAATTCCACATGGTTATGGCAGGAGCTAGTCTCTTCATAGGATGACTACTGTCAACTTGCCATTCAAATGTAACACATTTTATTTATCCTCGTGTAGTGTGGTGAAATACGTGGCGCACACTGTTGTCCGAGGGCAACCGAGGACAAACACGTCCGTGTGTGCAACATGAGGTTGCACGGGCAAACCGCCACCTACTTTGGGAGAGAAGCTGGTGCAGACCAGGTCGGCCTGGGGTTGCACGTTGACACCAGAGGTGTTGCCAAGGAGACGTGCGATAAGGGGTGATTGATGGCCTGACAGGTGCCAGGCGCTCAGTCGCCACGTGATTCTGTTCTGAATCTTGACCATGAGACGTGGGCTAAGCTGCAGGTTGACGACGCTTCATTATTGACGTTGTGCTGTCGTGCTTCTCGGGGACCTGGGCCCGCAGATCGCCCAACCATTGTGCTGCGTGAGGGACTCCTCATGCAGTGGGAGGGGGAGTCCCTGGGCTGACACTCTCTCGCTCCCCCTTGTGGGAGCCCGCACAACACTGTATGCGCGGTGCCCACGCTATCTCAGCGCTCACCAAGCCCCGCTAGGGCTGGTACTACACCGATCTACGGGGTGTACGCGATGACGGTGCATCGCACGCTGTGCTATAGTAAAGCCGGCATCACACATCAACCTACCCAGTGCTGTCCGCGACATAGGAACATCGTACGCCATGACCCTCCCGGGCCGGCACCATACAGTGATATCCCCGATGTCACTACACATGAATGCATCTGTGATTCTCAAGTCTCCCAGTAAAACATGGTTCAATAGGACAACTGTCACTTCTCCTCTACTACTCTCACTATATGGAAACTCCAACCCCCGGCTGTCCCACATTTATGACTTGCCAGTTCTAACCGTTACCTGCGCTGGCTGGATATGTTTTCAGCAAGCAGCTGGCTACGTGTGCTCATTTCCTGCTGCAGCTGCTGCCGTAGGTCACGGAGGAGCTGCATCGGCACAAAGCGCTCCCGGTTTGCCACACACAGCTCAGCCTCACGAGCACGCAGCTGATACAGCCGCTCTGTCAGGAACTCCGGGTCTGTGGCCTCATGCAGAGAGAGACCTACAGAAGTACTCACACAAACACACAGCAATACATATAAACAAGTGAAAAAATATGTACGCATATACATACACGTGAATATATATGCACACATACACATAAGTAACCATATACTCTAAGCACTGCCAACCGGCAATACACATATATATTAAGTGTTATACAGTTTAGGGAAGCATAGGGAATGAAGTAGTGTTAACAGCTTGGTTGTTCACACACACCGTGTATTGGTTTGAGTGGTGGCATGACATGTGTATCTGCTGCATCTGGAATGGGCTGATCCAATACAGATGTAGTTGGTGACTTTCGATGGTACAGTTGAGCCTCCAGTTTGGCATTGTTCTCTTCTATAAGGGCAATCCTGTGGCAACAGAGCAGTGCAGACAGACACCCACCTTCACTAACACCTGAACAATATAGCCAGCCATATCAGTGATTATAACTTTTACAATAGTTTTTTTTTTGCAAAGAGAAAATAAAGATTTATGGACTTATTATGAAACATGGAGTTAAAATATGAAGTTGTGAATTCACATATTAGCAGTCTTCTGTTACCAGGTATTGGGTAACAAACTCTCACTTAAACATTCAAGCATGTGTAATGTAGACATTTGTCGAAGTAAAATTGAGTGCATATTTAATGACAGGTTGGTTGTATATCAGCAACACCCCTGAACACGGTGGTGTAACCAGGAGGCATTGTCCAGTCGGAGATCTTCAATCATGAACCTCTTTATTTAGAACATCCCGTTACGTTGGGGACTTGCTTAACATATAAAAAATAATATAATACACAGCCTAAGGGTACCTACGAGCTTGGATCATGGTTTAGAACCCCCTGTGCTATGGGAGGGCACACTTCAGGCGCGAACTGCCGTAGGGTGTGCGAGAGGTGAGGTGGTCTACTTAGGCACACCATACACTTACAAGCACTTGATCAACACAGGATAGAGCCCAGACCCACACCGATTAACATGGTTGGCTACATACTGTACGAAAGAAGTTAAACAGAAAAGAACATCAAAAGCACTCCCAAGGCAGTTCTTAAATAGCCTGAAGTCAACCGGCTCTGCCTGGTTCACCCCCAGAATATGGACACCAAAACAGCTCCAATCATCCCACTACCACCTAATTCGCTTCCAAATGATTAGCTCATCCTGATTGGGCTTTGTTTTGAGCCACCGCACCTCCGACCAGAAGGGTTGGCTACGTAGAGTGCTAAAAAAGTTCAACATACCAAATTGGCCAGATTCTTGGAAATTTCTCAAAAACCCTTCCTTATATGCAGGCCACCTGAGTTTCTGTTAATGAATTTTTGCCACAGCCAGGCTGGCTATACACCAAACCTGGCATTGACGTTGTGGTGACATCACCACCACTGAGTGGGATGTGAGTTGTTTGGCGAGAGTTTGGCTGAAGTAACCAGCGCCAGAAAAACCCCCAGAAGAGGGCATTACCTCTCCTGTAGCTCGGCTGAACGCCGTCTGTAGTAGGCCAGGGCAACAGACTGTCCTGCTCGGGCCCTCAGAGTGGACTGCAGTGAGCGAGCCTCTTGTTGCCCGGCACGCAGAACCTCGAAGAGAGCCTCGTACTCGGACATGGTGGCCATCAGCACCTCCCTGTAATCGCTGGTCCTCTCCAGCACCTGGCAGTAGCAACAACCATCATATTGGCGGTGGTGATGACCATGATTAATTAAATGTTTTATGACAGAAATTATGATCACATTGCTTCGTGTAAATCATGAATCATGATGATCGTAATGAGGAATCGGTAGCTTGTTAATCGTGAGGGGTACTAAATGTACAGTGCAGTAACCCCTTGCTCTTCACGAGTTCTGGATTCTCGAATTTCGTGTATTCGCGTGTTAATAAATGCATACTAATCCCCTATATTACAACTCCGACCCGCTGGACTATTCGCAAATGACCATAGTGGTAGACCATCGACAACCGGGGAAGGTGTGCACAGAATGTTTTATTTGAAACTGTCTCCGAATATTAGGCACAATACCTCGGCTGCTCGCTTTGTCGTCAGTCTCGCAGTAATATCGTGTACCACGAATAGGTACTACCATTGCAGCTACTGTGAACTCTCTATTGTGCATTTTTAGTTTATACATACTGCAATTGCTGTTAGTGCACTTTTCTCTCATTGTATCTCCCGAGGAGTCATCCTCCTGAATTCCTAATCATCACCACCACCACCTCCATCGTGGTCAAATCATCATCATCAAAGGTAGTTAAAATAAAATAAATTGGGTAAAACAAGTTTTTCAATGCACACACTTTTACTTGCACTCAAAAGTAGAAAATAACTTATTTTGACCCCAGAATGAATGAAATTTGATGTGCTTCATAAAAGTGGGTGGCTTGCATAAAGAAAATTAAACATCGAAAGAAAACCACCCACTTTTATTCAGCACATACAATTGTATTAATTCTGGGGTAAAAATATTTATTTTCTACTTATGAGTGCAAATAAAAGTGTGTGCATTGAAAAACTAGTTTTTTTAACCTAATTAATTTCATAAATTTTATTCTTAGTATTTGCTTTCAAATCTTTGAGGATTCATATCTCCCGAAAATCTATCATTAAATATATGAAATAACGAGGTTAAATGTGTAAAGTTTTTATTGTTAGAAAATATTAATGACTGTTCTGTAAATTTGAGATTTCCTTAAACAGATAAGAGTAACCATATCAAAACAGTTTAAAATTATTTTGAAAGGATAACTATATTTATATATGTATAGGACTTGAGAAACACACATCACGCGTTGAATTGAGATACGGGCACGCGGTGCACAGTGAGGGCAAACGGGGACACAGGGAGCGGAGCGACATACTGTTGTTGTTGTACCAATTAAGGTGGCATGGTAATTAAGGGGGGCCTGTAGGTGGCCGGGGGTAATCGAGGACGCAGGCCGTTGATTTGGACGAGAAGTATGGGTGTCGGGAATTGGCGCCCCGGTATCTACAACAACACCACGTGAGGCTGGGGGCTGGGGGCGAGTAGCGAAGTGGGGGATGGTCCAATTAATTAAGGGGAATTGGTTCAGGTGTCAGGGGAAGGATTCCCACCAATAGATGGGTTAGTGGGAGGGGTGATCGAGGAGATATAAGGAGAGAACGGGCGGGAAGAAGGGGCCTTTGGCGGGAACGATATTGGGACGGCTGGGGGACAGGTGTGGATGGAAGGAAAGGAATAAAGGACGAGACCCCTGCAATCTGGTGTCGGCTCCTACTTTACATCTGGTGGCAGCGGTGGGATCTCATGGCTACAAAAAAAAATCCCCGCGGGAAAGAGCCAAGGGAGGAGGAAGCAGGGGCCGGGGATCCTTCCCATCCCGGGCAACAAGGGGGCCTGCTATCAGAAGCAGCAGCAGGGGGCCCGGATTGCCTGGAGGACCCCATGGAGGACCGCATGGCCCGCGTGGAGAGGGCACTCCAGGAGCTCCTACAGAGGCTCCCTATGGGGGGCCCGCCAGCACCGGGACCCCCACCCCCACGCGTACTACGGGAGGAGAGGCCACGGGACCCGGAGGCCGACCAGCCGGCCTGTCAAGAGCCGCAACCAACCTCGTCACGCCAGCCGCCGCCGGTCCCGCCAAAACCCCCAGGGCTAAACACCCAACACGGAGAGCAGGTGGCCGGACGGCCGCGTCGGCTGGGGCCCGTCGACAAGTTCGTGGCTGAGGAAGAAGACTGGGAGGAGTTTGTCCGCCGATTCGAGGCTGCCTTCCACGCTCTCGAGTGGACAGACGAAGAGGCACTACGAGCGCTGCCATCCATTCTGGGCAAGGAAGCACTCTCCTCTTACACCTCCCTTCCCTCACACAGCAAGACCACGCTACAGGCGGCCTACGAGGCTTTGGGGGAGATCTATTGCCCGGCGGAAGGAGCCTTTAAACGGTTCCAGGATCGCCAGCGAGGGGCTAAAGAATCCCCTTTAGCCTACAGGGGTGCACTGCTTGTGTTGGCGAGGAGAGCTTTCCCTCGCCTGGCTGAAGAAGCGCTCGAGGACCTCGTGGTCGAGCACCTCATCGCCTACGCTTGCCGCGCCGGCGTTGTAATGCCCGTGGTGACGCCGGGGGAACGCACCTCGCTGTGGGCTGCCCGGACCATCCAAGCCCACGAGCAGGTCATGGGCCGGGCGCCACCCGTGGGCCCGGTGGCTGGCGCGGCGGGGGGGAACAGCCGAGCCGTTGCCGCGGCGCTACTGGGTCCAGCGACACCAACCGCCGAACCTGCACCGTCGCCACAGGCTGCCTGTGGGGCAGCTGGGGACGGACCCCCGACGTCTGAGACGGAGCCATCGCTGCGGGAGGTGTACGCGACGATCCGGGGACTGGCGGAGCAGAGGGACCATGGGCGCGACCAGCCGCCGCGTCGCTGGCAGCCGCCTCTACAACATCGCGCCGAGCCCCCCCGACGGAACGCCCCGTGGGTCTGCCACCGTTGTGGTCGAGAGGGGCATGTGGCGAGGGGGTGCCGCACGGAGCCGGAGGCCGCCAATGTCACCTGGAACCCGCCGGGGCCGAACGCCGACAGGATCCAGGCGAGTGACGCCGTCCCGCCCGGCCTCTCGGTCGGGCCGAGCAATTACAATTCCGACGCCGCGAACTTACCGGGAGTCTCCTCGGGGTGGGCGCCGTCGGTGTCGTTCCCCGGTCCTCATTGTCCGGGTCGGGGGAAGGGGATCGCGCCGGGGATAGCGCCGGGGCCTGTGATTGCGTCGCAACCAGAAGTGGCGTCGCGACCCGGAGTGGCGTCGCGAACGGACGTGACGTTGCATCCGGAAGTGACGTCGCGGCCAAAAGTGGTGTCGCGGATCGCGCCGGGAATTGCGCCGGGGCCGTGGACCGCGTCGGGGATCGCGGCGAGGCCGGAGACCGCGTTGGGAGTCGCGCCGGGGCCGGAGACCGCGTCGGGAGTCGCGCCGAGGCCGGGAGGGACGTCGCGGGTGGACGTGACGTCGCGGGCGGAGGTGACGTCGCGGGCGGACGTGACGTCGCGGGCGGAGGTGACGTCGCGGGCGGAGGTGACGTCGCGGGCGGGCGTGACGTCGCGGGCGGGCGTGGTTTCGCGGGCGGGCGTGACGTCGCCGGCGGGCGTGACGTCACCAGTTACCTGCGACGCCGGCGAGTTGTCAGGGGCAACGGCCCGGGTGCGGAGGCAGCCCACAAGATTGACATTGCGCCCTGGAGCAGTTCCACGGGCCGCCTCGCCACCGCTTTGCGGCAGAGCGAGACGGAACCAGGGGGACCACGCCCCCGTGACAAAGGGAAGGGAGGGGAGAAGGGAGGGGCTCACGGGAAGGCCCACCCCCCAGTCCCCACTGCCCCCTACAATGGGGGGGGCCCCCCACACCACAAGGGGGGCCCACCCTACGTCACCAAGGGGGGGCAATTTGCACCACATAGAGAGCCCAGCCCGCAACCCACGGGTAAGCCCACACTATGTAACAAGGGCGCGTTCACCCTGCTGCGACGCACTGCAAAGGGAGGAACCCCATCTTCAGTCCATTCACATCCATCCCCCATCATTTCACCATGCACCACAGGATAACGAGACGCCGCCTGGTCAGTGGCCGGACTCAGCCACACAATGGAGGAAGCTGGCAAGGCGGGTGGTAGCGGCCACGTCGGGAACCTCGGTCCTGGTCGGTGAAATCGCGGGAGTGTCGGCACGTATCTTGGTGGATACGGGGGCATCAGCCACGATCATCTCGAGCACCATGCACGAGATGCTGCCGGATAAAATCCGACCTTTAGTCCCTGTCAAGACAACGTTCATTGCAGCAAATGGAGGCAGCATGGGCTTCCTGGGCCAGGTTGAAGCCCCGATACAGATTGGGCAGCTCTCGGTAGCAGGACCCATCCTTGTCTCCGCAACGTTGCCCGTACCCTGCCTGTTGGGGACGGACTTTCTGAGGCGGATGCCAATGAAAATCGATCTGGCCAATGGGCGGGTGGAAGTCCAGGGAACGCATCTCCATTTCCTAAAGGCGGAGGGGGCCAGCCGGGGTGTACCCTACGTGCAGGCTCTGGTCAGTAAGTCTGTCTCCATTCCCCCGGCAGCCCAGATGCTGATTCCACTGCAATATCGGTCTCCCCTCGTGACAGCCCGACCAGACTCACCCATCCTGGTGTCTCCGGCGTCAGCTGCCATGGATCGCCATGCGCTGGTGGGAGCCGAAACTATTGTACAGAGGAACCAGCATCTGTTCATTCAGGTGCTGAACACTTCCGATAGAACAGCGACGGTGCAGGAGGGAACAGTTCTGGCCCACGTTAGTCCCTTGTCACTAGGAGCCCCAGGGACAAAGCCCGAGCTTGTAGGCAGCATCAGCCAGTCCGAGGACAGAAGGGCCGAATCGTGGATGGACCAGCTGGCGGGGCCTGAGCCGGGATTGCCGCTCGACCAGAAACAGCAGCTGCACTCGTTATTGCATGAGTTCTCGGACGTGTTCAGCCGGGGACCGTTCGACCTAGGGCGCACAAATCTGTCGCAGCACCACATTAACACGGGAGATGCCGCACCCCTGCGCCAAAACACATATAGAATGAGCCCAATGGAAAAAGGGCACATTCAACAAGCGGTGCAGGAGATGCTGCGGGCCGACATAATTTCTCCATCCTC